AGAAATTCACAGTGGTGCAGCCACTGGGGGTCACAGACCACATTTTAAGAACTACTGCTCTTACCAACAGTTTACTTACTCATTAAACTCTTTCACTTGGGCACAGTATAGAAGCCAAAATGTCATGACAGGAGGTGAGGCAAGAGGGCAGAAAGCATTCTCTCTCCCTGTTTTAGAAATTCTTACCCAAGAATATGTTTATTAATTTTAGACAGAAAGGAAGGGGAAGAGAGAAATATTGATGTGAGAAACATCGTGGTTGCGTTCTGTCCATGCCCAGACGGGGATGGAACCCTCAGTCCAGTCTTGCGCCCTGACCAGGGATCCAGCCCCATCACTTTTTGATGTCAAGGGGATGATACTCCAACTAACTGAGCAACCTGGCCAGCATCACACTTCTTTTGAATATACAGAGATATGTTCAGAAATGTTTAAAAATCTGAAAGTATTTGTCAAGTCATAATTCCACTCACCACAAAGATATTATTCAAAATAAACATAAAATGCAACACTTTATTAAAGCAAAAGTATCTTTACTAGTAATATACAAATGGTGAAGTGACAATTTTGATTACCGTAAGCCATACTTTCAATATCTCTCATAAATACAAAACTTCAACATTTGCATTATAATTTTTTACAGTTTAGACATATATATATATACAGCATTTCATAGGGACATACTATATTGAAACAATAAAAAAACGTTGTGGTAACTAACTAACTCAAGGATACAGAATCTGAATGGAATATATAAGTTAAAGAAAATAGGAGTATGTTTTAATGCATACTGAACATAGTATAGAATTCTCATACCATAAAAAAAGGTTTCTAAAACTTTTATCTCTAAGAAGTTCACATATTCCTAACAGAGTTTAGAGGCAAATGCAAAATCATGAACATTCCTTTAAGAATTGAAACAAGTACGTTTGCTCTTAACAGTACCATTTATTTTATATAATGCATGACAATTTCTAAAAAAAAATCCTATTTGTAAAATTTGAATCATAGGTTCTAATGTTAACTTTCTCCTTTGGACTGTACTCCATTTTCTCCTTTATATCAGTAGAATTGGCCTAATTTTTCTCTAAGCACTGTTCCTGGTTCCTACTGAAGCTCTTCTCACACAAAATCCTTACCTATTCAGAATGTAGGAGTGCAGTCTGCCTTTCTGGACTCTCTTAGTTCCTTTTCTATTCTCCTATGCCTGGTGGTGATTTAAAATGCTTCAAGAGTCATTGCTTTGCTATTCTTTTCCAAGGAAAGCTAAAACCAAAAGATGAGAATGCCAAATGAGAACGCCAAAAGATGTTCTCATTTCAGGAAAAAAAATAAAAAGCAGTGGCAATTATAAGTGTTATAATTATAAGTGGCAATTTTTATATAAATAAACATGAACAGCATGTGGTATAAATCCTAAAAAACATACAAAACTTAAAGAGAGGGTACTGACTAATGTATTTAAGTCACTATAGTGAATAATGGACTATTTTCTAAGGATGTTAAATGTGTTATTAAATAAATATTTAGTATTATATATAAAAGCAAGTAAGGGTAAATAATTAATCAATTAGTATTATTGTAAAATGTAAAATAGCTGCATCTACAACAGTAAATGCAATTGTTTAAAAACAGAGAGGAGGGACAGGAAGAAAATGATATTTGTTCAGAAACTATAACATATAGGCCCCTTTATAACTTTCTCATTTTCACATACAATTGTTTCCTCTCAGAACATTAAGCACATTAGTCAAATGCTTTCTTGAAAGATTTTCCATTTTAGGATTGAAGTACTTCATTTCTGTGACCTTCCACAGTTTAACTTTAGCATATGCTAATACATCCCTATGCAATTTCAATGTGAGAGAAAGTGCAATAATAGTTCAAAGGGTTAAGACAACACAAATTTTATCTCTAAAGAGAAATAATGCAAACAATCACATTAAAAAAATATCTTCACCTACTCATAAGTTTGTTGAATAGACACTCTGGATGTGGTTATGGAAAAGAGCTCCATAAAAGGTTGAAATTGAGCATTTACATTGTTCTTCATGAAAAAGCACATTGCAATTTTAATCAGTAACTGTAATGTTTTCCTACTATTTTTTAAAATTAAGAAACAGATTATAATTTTTTACCACTTCAGTTAAGATATTTTCATCAGTGATTATCTTATCCAAAATAAGATGATTTGTGCCCCCAAATCAATAGATAACAGTAATAATGTGAACCCAAGTGATGCCATAATAATCTACCCTATTTCAAAAAGTCATCTGTTGCTTTGTTTTACACCTGGTAGTACTCAATTTCAGCATTATCTAGAATGTATTTATTGTATAGAACAATAGTATAGAACGAATTGAGTATATTTTGTGTGTGCATCAAAAGTACTGTTTTGTCATAAGAGGAAATAAATTGCACAGCTTAATTCATTACATTTAGATTTTGTATTTGAAGTAATTTGAATTGAGCATATTCAATGAAAGTAATTAAGACAGAATCATTAAATTGTCACAGGTGGAAGCAAAATATATCAATAAAATTTGTAGTTTGTGTTTTTTCTTTAAGAAGCAGGCTCTCGTGCTAATCTAAAGGCACAAATACATTTTTAATTATTAAAAATAAGCATAAAATAAAGGTATGATTAAATTGTAATTAATTATTGGCACTCAAATAAATAATTTGATTAATAAAATCCTTCTATTTATACAAATATTTAATTCAAAGACCAAGATTCATATAAACTTTCTTGGATGAAATAGTCTTTGAAAATGCTTACATTGGTATTAATATTAAAAATAAAGAAAAACTTGAACAGCATTACATTAATGTTAGACATTAGTATCAATAATAAATAAATCTTTAGAAATTACAACTTTTAATATTTGCAAATTATTGTAAAATGTATTAACACATTAATTTGTATCAGTTTGAAAACCAAATATGTGCTAAAATGCTGATATTACTATTTCCTCTTATATTTTGTTGTGTATAGATTGTCATTACCTAATTGCACATTATCTACCATGAAATATCAATGTTTTTAGTAATATCTTTGCTTCTTGGTTAAAGTACCATAGATTCTGATTATTTAACATATCTATACTCAGTAAACTATTTGGACATTTGATACTAACAATTAAGAGTACTCTCAGACAATGAAAATAATATGTATACATTTACACTGTATACAATAAGAATGAAAGTCTACAATAAGAATAAAAAACAGAAAACATGATTTCAGTTCTATTCATATTTTACAATTTACTAAAATCCATCTCTCAGGTGAAAACTTTTACAAATAATTAATTTGGAGCATTACATAAAAACATTAAAAAGAAAAGTTTATCACAGTATTGCCGTGCTCCTGCATGGCGTACATTTCAGGGACAAGAGAGAGGGACCATTCAGACGGTTGAAACAGTGCACTTGAAACAATCTGTCTACAATTAGCTCCAGATTACCTGTTAACTTTAGATTGTTACTCCACATTAGTGGCAAAAAATTCAACAAATATATATATATATATATGTATATGTACATATATATTTGAAATATTTAGGTAAATTGCTTTACATGGAAAGTCCAAATAAATGAAACTGAAATTTCAATCTGAAAAAAACACAAAAATATGTGTTCTTTATTATTTCTCTGTTCTTGAAGTATAGCACAAATATAACAGTAGTAGACATGCTAAATTGTTTCCAAAGTTTTCCTAATTCTTTTACTATCATCAGTTTAAATCCAGGTAGCCCTATCCAGGAAAAATTAGCATTCATGGCTATTGCTTCACTAACATTTTACTAAGCCCATTTACTTTGCACAAGTACGTTGATTAGTTTTAGCACAAAAACGTGAAAAAAAAAACAGTAAAATACAGCAAACGATGAGGAGACGAAACATAACTTAAATAGCAACAAATCCATCAAGAAGACCAGTTGAATAATCCCTACTAAAATCTTAGGTAGGCACTAAAGTCTTTTCTTTTTCTTCGGAGTAGGCCAGAAAGGATAGCAAGGAGAGATTTCTGTATCATAACCCTGTGAATCCTGGCAATGACACTGGAGGGTTAGTGCCTGAACGTGCAGGTGGGCGGATTCTGCCCTGCTGACTGACAACCAACACTTAGTAGAATTAGTTAGCTGTTTCTACTTGGCTGACAGGTTCCAGCACTTTGTATATAAAACTGTTCAGTAAATGGCATTAACATGACATCGATATTCATTAAGTCATCTCTAGAGAGAGAGAGAGACCCTAAAGCACGTTGCTCTGCATTGCCAGAACTATCCTCCAATGTTCTATTGGAGTTCGTTCCCCAGCCAGTCAATATCCGAGCTACAATACAACCTGAACATTAAAGTTTATGAATGGGGCCTAAAGAAAGCTTTGGCTCTCTAGGGTAAGAAATAACCTAAAACCTGCTCCCAATGGTATGTATAATTCTAAGCATTAATACATTTTTTACCTTACATATAAGTAAAAACCATGTTCCAGTTGTTTTTTTTCCCTCAGGAAGCTTGCATAGCTTGGAAGTTAACAAGTGTTTTATTTGGGTACCAGGCCCTACAAGTAATATTAGAAAGCTGATGTTGAATAGTTACAGAATTTCTCAACCAAAGTTGTTTATCAAAATCTTAAAATAACTTCTAGCTACAACATCCAGAAGAACAGGATAGTACAATAGTAATTCAATTGTTTAGCATTGACACTTTCATAGCATGTTTCAACGTTAATATCTCCTCAATTTATCCAAGGTAAGGATTTTAACTTCCATTAGCCAATTTCACTTATGATTGACTTATAACACTTGAATAATGCATTTTTAAACAAAAACTATCTAAAACAATGGACAAAAAATGTATCTGAAAGTATGGTTTGAAGTCATAGAAAAGAAGAGACCTGTTTTTTTGGTAAAATTATTTAAAAGTAAAAAGTGATCACATATTTATAAATATAGCAACACAACAATGATATTATTCTCATTTCAATTTACTTTATTACTTGAAGCTGAGGGCAGAAAATAATATAATTTTCACTTGCAATACATTTTTCTGTGTGTAATCTGCTGTGAGTGAATATGGCAGAGATAAAAAGAGATTTACGGAATCTTTCTAATCTAATTTTACACACAACTAATATTCATTCAAGTGGGTAACAGTTTTGATCTGGCACTTCAGTCTACCAAAAATCAATACAACTGTAACTTGAAAAGAGTTTTCCCAAGTTTCTTTTGATTTTTAATATCTGCTAAAGACAGCTGGCTCCTTCAAGCCCAGGTTCCCTGAAATTCTTGTAATAAAAAAAGTATAACCTTTAAGTGTTTTCATCTGAAACTGAAATCCACTTTAATTATCTGTCTGCCAAAATAAGATAAAAAGCATGCAGGGCTTTCTTATACATCTGGCTCACAAAGTTTTGCTTTGTTTTGTTGGTTTGTTTGTTTTGTTTAAATTCCTATTTGTTGGGGAGGTTATGGTATGAAACACAGTTCTTAAAAAGGATAGCACTTTAGCCATCAGATAAATGGCAACTCTCCCATCATCTTGTCAAATCAATACCCGAGCGTTGGTGCCAGTCAGATCTCTATTTGAGTATCTTAACAAAATAAACAACAACAGTAGCAACAACAATAACAACAACAACAAAGGAAATTGACCATGGGCAGGAGTATTGGATCATATGTATATGTGTACAAGCTATTCCAAGCTAGAAGTTTCCCAAGAAATTAAGGTCAAAGGAATAGTTTTGGTCATAGGGTCACTGAAATCCAAATGCTGTTTGCAGCATCGTTCAACCTCTGCGATCTTGGTGTTATGCTTTGCTGTCGTCTTCTTTTGACTGGATGTCATTAGAAACCTTAATTTCTATAGTTTCTGGATTTAGGACTTCTTTTCCATTCTCTTCTTTCAAAGGCAATTTTCTGGAAGGAAATACGAAAATAGTAAACTTCACTTGCTAATGTAATTTAAGTGGGATCTTTTAATATTTAAGTTACTGTTTGGTAGAAGGAAATATGTTACAATTATTAGAATAAAAATTTTGATTTGTTAAAATGATGACATTGACAAAAATAATCTGAGAGAATAAAAGAATATTGTCTACTGTAAATATGTGGTGTGATGCAAAATGATGAATGAGATAAAAATTTGTAAATCTACATGAATCATTCATTATAGGGTGGCTTAAACTTGATAAGAAGTTGATAATATGAAAATATAATTAAGTGTTTTGGAACAAAAAATTTAAAAAATAATATGTCAGATGATTTACTAGTACTTAAGTTGTTCAGTAAAAACCATCAGTAGTTGCTGATATATTCTGTTACATTAATTTAGGAAACTAGGTAAATTGACATTATTCTTTGAAACTTAATGCAAATACATACTTTGGTGCTTTCTTTTTTTATTTACTACTTATTTTTTTAATTGGCCTCTGTTATTATTATTTTCTTTTCACTGGTATAGAGAGGTCTGATCAGATCACTGGGGAGGAGAAGGGAGGAGATTGCTTGAGACAATGGTAAACAGTCAAGGACCTGACTGGCTGCAAAGCTGAATGCCCCTGGGATGCAGGGAATTACCAGTTGGAAGACTTGAAGAGAAGGAGGGCAGAAACTCACTCTCTTCCTCTTCCTCATGGATTCCTGAATAATCATGCTACAGCCCCCTGAGTTTCCCAGGGGACATTATTTTAGATGGTAGAAGGAACTATGAGCAACTCTGAATCCTACAACCTAGGACTCGGCTGGCCTGTTTGGAAATTACAGGGTTGCTTTTCTTTGTTTTCTAGAGGGGACTGGTTCTCAGGCAGAAGCCTATCATTTTTCCAAAATTCTGTATCTTATATTGTTCCAGTTTGTCAATTAATCTTTTGAAAATAAGATAATTAAAAACCGACATGTAGAGTAATAGGGGAATTCAAGGGTTAAAGATTTTAACCTTAGTTGATGATAGGCTTAAATGACTAATGCATACAGAAAGCTGTTATTACAAAATTGTGTAGCTTTTGAATAAGGACTCCTTTGCTTTTTCAACAAACCTCTGCCTCCAGAAGTTTTCTGGAGGGTGGCAGCTGACAGCAGAACACCACTTGCTGTTTGGTAACACTACTTTTGTATCATTTATGAGCACTTTTTTGAGAGTTGATTCCATATGTTACATATGAAGCAAAAACAAACTTTTTCCCAATATCGACATATTTGTTAATTTGCCCAATACTAAAATTCATACAAAGTGAAATTAGTGGTACTCCATAAAATACATGATTTTCCAACTGCTATGTTGTATATGTGAAACTAATACAAAATGATATTGAATGCAAATAGTAACTGAAAATAGAAATTTATTTAAAACCTCACAGAAATAAAAAGAAATAAATAAAAATAATTTCAAATTTAATCTTTAAAATATACTCTGATCTTTGACTCTCCATGGATAGATTCTAAAGAGTAAAAAGATTACAAATATATCTTTAACTACAGATAGTGTTTATATTATCATTCACAACCTTTATTTCTTACTTTTAAGAAATAGCTTCTTAAGCTAAGATTCTTAGCTTCAAGAATCTTAGTCTTACGACAATGAATCAATATTTTTAGTTTTTCTATAATTCTTAAATTCAGAGGTTTACTATTATATTTTGTGTACATAAATATAGGGGGAATTTTTCTTCCCTTGAAAAATATATTTTCCACATCAAAAAACTTTAGTTACAAATATAATTATAAGCCACTGCTGTGACTTTAAATTCACCTCTTTATGGGGGAGTGAGAGCTACTATGCTAGTTTTGTGACAGGATAATGATAAGTTAGGAAAAGTCCTGGACAAGTGGAATAGGGAAACTGAGAAAAGGAAATTAAACAAAACAAAACAAGTTGAACAACTTATAGCCAGCTGGTGAATGGCAAGACCTTATGTTCCCAAACCAAGGGCACTTGAGAGCAAATGTTTCATACGTTTCTTCCTGAACCAGAGAATACAGAATTTAAATCACCCTGGTCTATGAAATAGACAACAGAGTTCAACAGAGTTCGTGCTAGCTAAACTCAAGGACAGATGAAGTCAGGGGAACTAATGCAAAACCTCCATCAGAAGCTGGACAGACCCAAGATAAAAGTAAAACAGTAAAGCAGATCAAAGAATAATCCCAAACTCCCCTCCCTAAACGCTCATTCTGATGCATCAGCATATTAAAAACACACCTAGAAAACTAATGAATATTCTACTGAAACCCTTCCCTAAGATTCCTCCTGCAAAACAGAGGTAAAACCCTCAAGACCAAGACTGGGTATGGGCGTGCTCTAGAGTGAGCCCATGCCCCTGGGGCATGAACTTTTTACTTCCTCCTAAATTCCAAGGGTCACCCATGTGACTTCCAGCCAAGGGAGCAATGGGCAGAAGCAGCTTGTCCTGGAAGCAGTGGGTAGCCAGCTCGTCCTGGGCTTATTTTCTGAATTTGCCTCCAAGGCCCCGCTTTTCTCTGACTCCCAGTGAGCTGAAAGTGGCCCCACCTGGTCTCACTTCCATCATTGTGACCTTTACTTGCCAGTGAGCAAGAGCAGACCCATTCAGACTCTTTTCTTGCAAGGTTTCTAGGGAGCCGAAGTGGAGCACCACCAAGGCGCGCGCTCTCTCTCTCTCTTCTCTCTCTCTGTCTCTTCTGTTGCTTCTTGTACCCTAAGTCCTTCCTTTGTTTTGCTGTCGCCATACTCTCAGAAATCACCAGGACTTGTGAAATCTTCCCATGCAAAGTGAAGAGCCCACATGCTACAGGTTAGACCTGCTCAAGGCCAGTCCTTGTCCTGTAATGGTTCCTGAGGAATTTATCTGCAATTTATTTCATATTTTGGAATGAGTGGGCAATCCATTTCATTCTGAAGATAAATGATACCATGTAAAAATGAATCAATCAAAAATCATTCATAGGCAAAAGCTAGTAAGATTTATTTCTGGGATGAAGGAGCATCTCCTTGGTACCTTCAGGGCAGGCTCTTTTATGCACATTATAGATATTGTAGACATCCTTCTTTCTTTCTGCTATTCCCAAGTACTGAAAACATTGGCAATAAAGATTATAAAAATAATGGGTCACTTGTAGCATCAAAATATAGAGGAATTTAGAGTTGGCATGGGAAGTTAGCATAGGTTTAATGCATCTCTATGTATTGAGTTTGTAATTAACCAGTGTTTCAACTGATTGTTGGGTGGTGTGTTTACACAATTATTAACTGCTTATGTTTATGGTAATTAAAATATTGTTAATGTTATTATTTTTTGTTAAGATTTTTTCCTGTGGTGAGTGCTAGAGTAGTTAATAAGTTGTCTTTTTATTTTAGTTTCTATTGGTTAGATTATTTTAAAATATATGAATGTCATATGCAAGGGCTTTTCTTTATTCATTTTCATACACATCAGTATAACACTATAAGTGATAATTATACACAAAAGCCTTTTTGGGGGGTAATCTCTTGCTTCATTCAAAGATTTATAACTTCCGAGGAAGAGACAACAGAACTTACCTTGTGCCCGCTGCTTCTACTGCAGTTAACTTCAAATTAGAATGTAGGAATTCTAAACGCAACTACTAAAATGCCTGAAGATTCATATTAAAATTTTAACTACAGAGTACTACAATGTATTTGCCTAAATATCAATCATTTCAATCATTTCAGAGCAGATAATGGGGATCTATGAAACACACTGTTTTCTTCGGCAATGCCAACACTCAGAATTTGACTTAGGATGAGAAGCCTAAAGCAAAATTTTCTCTATGGGAATGTTTCCTGGCAGAGAAAAAGAAAGCTGCCCTTCAAAATCAATGAAATTTAAAGGACATTTTAGTGAGCAGTACTAAAGAATAGTGTGGTAGTCATGGTTTTGTTAGTGTTAAGTATATTCAATAAAATACAATTATTTCCACTTCTTAATAATGTCTTTGGTTTAGATTATTTTAATTTTTATGTGTATGAACCTAGGTGCATTTAATATACTTTCAAGGTTTATTTTAGACATCTGCTATGGTTTTAGTGGAGTTATGATAGATGCAGAAAGAATAACAATCCTGAATGGAGACCAAGCACCGTTTACTACGTAAATACTAACATGGCAGTTTAACAGCATTTCTTCCTGTCCTTTACAAATATTCTTTATTCTAAAAAGTCTTGTGTATATTTAACACTATTTCTATTTTAAACTATCATATTTTTATTCAAAGCAATGACTACTTCCTCCTAAAACATCTTTATTTCAGTAAAAAATCAATGGCATTTTCAAACCATAACATTCTTAAAGAGTGAGATTAGTGTAAAACATATGACTCTCTCTGACATTTTTGTATAAAATAGTAAATATATGTTTGAACAGCAGATTTTCCCTGACATTGATACAAAGTTTTCATTTGAAATGACTGAAGAGAAAATAAATTTTTAGATGTTCACATGTTTACTGAAGATGTTCATTGAAAAACAAGAAAGTTTTTCTCAAATGATCATATTTGTAAATATTTACTAAAATGATAGTAATGTGTTATCACTGTAGAAATTCGTATCCAAAAATCGTTAAGCATTTTAAGCATTTCACTCTACATACTCAGGTTCTGTTAGTGGTGTGGTTTCATTGGGTTCATTTACTGGGCTTCCATCTTCATGATTAGTAATTCTTTCATCCTCTGTTCTCATTTCCACTATTGGCTCTTTTGAGCCATCTTTCCTAGAAAAATAAAGAAAAAAATTCTTAACTATATATTGTAAAAACAGATGCATTATGAAATATTTTTTAAAATCTCCACCTGATCCCACCTGCTCATAAACAAGTCCAATGTGGTCAGATTGAGAATACCACCAAGGACTTTTTTTGCATTTAAATTTATCTTGCCATATTTTTCACTCAGTAAAAACAGAAAGAAGATATTTTTTTGTATATAATTCTTTTTCTCATAAAAATCATGTTTTAAAATTTGAAAGATAAAATTTACACATATCTTTTATTGTTTTAAATGTCTATAAATTTAAATAAATTATTTCACTGTAATACGATCATTGACTTTTAACATATTCATGTTTTCGAGAAAATAGTTTGAATAGAAACTGTAACATATATGCAAGATACTTTCATTTATGATTTCATACTCACATAATCTTTACTAATTTCTAGGATATTAAAAAAGTATAATTTCTAAAGTAATAAAAAGTATAATTTCTAAGATATTAAAAATATGTAAGTATAATGATCATAATTATGAAAAGTGGAAAATTTACCACAAAGTTTTATATCTCAAGGAATAGAGTAAAAGTAAGGAAAACCAGGAAGCTATTTGTTGATGATGAAGGGTCATTGAGATATAAGGGCTAGAAATGAGGTGTTCATATTGCAGACAATAAATATGCCCCTCCCCCAAATAAGAAAGGGGTGTAGAGTCTTCAACTACCCAGGGACATACACTTACTACAAATTGCACAACTATGCTCTTTCATATTAACACTAATGATTTGAAAACTTATGTCCATACAAAACTCTGCACATGAATGTGTGTAGAAACTCTATTCAAACTCTTGCCAAAAACTGGAACCAATTAAGATGTCTTTCTCAGGGGAATGAGTAGGTAGACTGTGGAGTAGCCATACAATTGGACACTACTGAACAATAAAGAGAAATGAGCCATCAAGCAACAAAATGACATGGAAAAACTATAAATGCATATTGCTAAGGGAAACAGACTGTCTGAAAAGGCTACATACAGTGTCATTTCAACTATACGATGTTCCCTAAAAGGGGAAACAATGAAGACAACAAAATGATCATTGGTTGCCACAGGTTCCTGGTGAGGGACCGAGGGATGGTGGTAATGGTGGAGCACTAGGCATGTTAGGGTAGTGAAACTATTCCACAATTTGAAGTATAATCTGTTGTTTTATGTTATCAGTTGTATCTTATTTCTCATGGAGATTTTATATAATTTTTCCAATTTGTACTATGAATTTTTTAAAAAGAACTTTTTAAGGCAGAAAACTGTGACATAAAAATTGTGATGGATGCATAAAAATCATGGGATGAACCATGTATTTTCATCTTGCCAAGTCTTTAAGGTTAAGCACACTCAGTAGGATTTACAAATAGAAGTGCTTGTGGGTAAATTAACAAATAATAGTCAAATAAACAGCAGAACTTGAATATGCATTGCTGTTTTGCTCATGGTCACCAACAGCTCTCTAGTTAGTTAAGACGAAAGCACGAAGACCCTTTCTGATGCATCCGTTTCTTTCCCCTCAACCAGTCATTAGTATTTGACTCTATCTCAACTATATCCAGAATTTCTATATTTTTTATGTGTCTGTAGTAGTATTGCAGGTACTGCCTTGGACCAAAAGGCCATATGTGTCCCCTGCAGTATTGTGAGGTCCTTTTGCCCAGTCTCCTTAATCCTAGATCTTTCCACTAAAACCCTCCAGGGTCTCATTCTCCATCAGTAGCTAAAGCAATTAATTTTCTTTAAAAACTTTCAGTAACTTGCAATTAAAAAAAAGATTGTTTACCTTGATCCAAGAAAATTTAATCCTTTGGTTCATAGATAATTCTCTGACCTGATATTTGTACCAATCTCTCCTCTGCCTCACACCCCAGGTTTATTTGTCCTTTCAACGTAGTAAGCTTACACCTGTTTCAGTGGCCTTTGTAGTCATTGTTGCACCTGCAACAGTGTTTTTCCCTCATCGCTACTTCGGTGGTTCCTTTTCATTCTACTCTTTAGCTTTAGCGTTATTTTCCTTGAGAAGTCTTAAATGAACCAGTATATAGTAATGATTTATCATTCTGCTTTTCATTTTTCCTTGTGCTACTAGACATTTTCATTTCACTAAATGTTTATTTTATGTTTTTCTGCATTAAAACATGAATTCTATGTGAATAAACTTCTTGTTTTTTTGTTCATCACTTTACTGCCAGATTACATAGCAGTGCTTGATACCTGGTAACTAGGCCATAAATAATGTTTGCTCAATGCTTGAAAAAGGATGAAAGTGCAAAAACTTCATATACATATATATATACACACACACACACACACAATTATATAATATATAATGCAATTATATATCTTATATAAATTGTGTAATTATGTAATGTATTGCTTTTTCCACATATGAATAAAGAAGAACTAAGTTTAATGATATTTTATTGAGTTGATAAGATGAGGTAAAAGCACAGCATATTCTTATGAAGAGAACAAAATACACAGAATGGTGAATTGATCCCACTGTATTCACTGTCACATGTTAAGCTATTCAGGTGAGATGGCCTGATTTCTGGTTACTCTTTAAAATATTTGGTGTCCAACAACTAAGCAGGTGTCATTTTGATTGCAAATTGAATTAATTTTAATCGAAAATGTATGCTATCAAATTTAGTGTCTCTCAAAGTGAAGAAAATCCATCCCTATAGCATATCCATGAGAAATAGTCACAGAAATATTGCCTAGTAATATTGAAATAGGCTTGGGGATGAAAAATGAATAAAGCCATACAGAATGAATTCCTCTATATCTCTAAGCCTAAAAAGTAATGTATGAGACCATATTTTCCTAAATGTATGTATAGAAAAAACAAATAGAAAGAGCTCAACCATAAAAGATGAATTACTGTCGTAGTTTTGAGATTAGATACAATTTTATCTAGAGACCACAAACCAAAAGTCAGTATTCTTAAAAGCTATTTTATTTATTTACTTTAGACAGAGGGGAAGGGGGGGGAGAAAAAGAGGGAAAGAAACATCAAGGTGTGGTTGCCTCTGTTGTACTCACTACTGGGGATCTGGCCTGCAACTCCATGCCTGGACCAGGAACCGAACCAATGACCCTGTGGTTCACAGGCTGGCACTCAATCCACTGAGCCACAACAGCCAATTCCAAAAGTAAGTATTAAAACCTCTTAATTACTTTTTGTACATGACAAAAACTTTTTTCTGCAAAATTTAACTCTGCATATTTCCTCAGGATTTACATGTTTTCTAATTAAATAAAATATGCACAGGGAACTCCAAATTCTAGTATGTAGTCACCTGTTAATCAAAATTTGGAGTGAATTCAGACTCTGGATAATGTATTGTATAATACATATTTTCTATGCAGACAATTTTGAAACTTGTATGTAGTCGCTTCTTACAATTGTAGGAACTGGTATAATTTATGTTAACTCAGTTTAACTTAGTTTTTACATCAGATTATTATTGATACCTTTGTTTTATTCAATATTAATAGATAAATTGTGGGAAAAATCATAACCAAATATATTATTCTATATCTATCATCCATCTACCTATCTATCCATCTATCTACATACCTATCTACCCATTGATATTTAAATCATGTCAATAAAAATTTTACTTTGGAACCCATTTTAAGGTTTGTTTATTTATTTATTGATTGATTGATTGTTGTTCAAGTACAGGTGCCTCCATTTTCCCTGTCACCAATTTTCACCAAACTGCCACCCTTCCCCCACTTCCCACCCTCGAACCTACACCATTTGGCCTTGTCCATGTGTCCTTTATACATATCCCTCGATGGACCTTCCCCTATTTTCCCCATTTATCCCCCTTCCCCCTCCCCTCTGGTTACTGTCAGTTTGTTCTTTATTTCAATATTTTGGTTATATTTTGCTTGCTTGTTTTGTTGATTAGGTTCCACTTACAGGTGAGATTGTATAGTTTTGTTTTTCACTACCTGGCTTATTTTACTGCACAGCTAAAGAAAAGAGCAGTAAATTGAAAAGAGAACCAACCGTATGGGAAAATATATTAGCCTATGATACCTCGGACAAGGGTTTGATCTCCAAAATATATTAAGAACTCATACATTCATACGACTCCACTACAGGAAGACAAACAACCCAATTAAAAAATGGGTAAAGTACCCAAACAGACACTTCTCCAAGGAGGACATACAGAGGGCCCAGAGACATAGGAAAGGATGCTCAGAATCACAAGCCATCAGAGATACAAATTAAAACCACAATGAGATACCACTTCTCACCTCTCATAATGGCCATCATAAACAAATCAACAAACAAGTGCTGGCAAGGTTGTGGAGAAAAGAGAACCCTAGTGCAGTGTTGATGGGAATGCAGACTGGTGCAGCCACTGTGGAAAACAGGATGGAACTTCCTCAGAAAACTAAAAATGGAACTGCCTTTTGACCTGGCAATTCCACCGATAGGATTTTACCCTAAGAATCCTGAACCACCAATCCAAAAGAACCCATGCACCCCAATGGTCACAGTAGCACAATTTATAATAGCCAAGTGCTGGAAGCAACCTAAGTGCCCATCAGCAAATGAGTGGATCAAAAAAACTATGGTGCATTTACATAATGGAATTCTATGCAGCAGAAAGAAAGAGGGAGCCCCTACTCTTCACAACAGTATGAATGGAACTGGAGAGCATTATGCTAAGCTTCATTTTTTAAATTTTTTTTAAATTTATTATTTTTTATTTTTTATTTTTATTGATTATGCCATTACATTTGCTCTATTCCCCCCTCCCTTCCCCTCCACCCTGCATACCCCTCCCCCACCATTTCCCCCTTTAGTTCATGAACATGTGTCTCAATTTCTTTAGATTCTGTATTTCCCCTACTATTCTTACCCTCCCCCTATGTATTTTCTATCTACTGTCTATGCTACTTATTTTCTGTACTTTCTCCCCCCTTCCCCTCCTCCCACTCCCCTATTGCTAACCCTCCCTGAGATCTTCATTTCTATGGTTCTGCTCCTGATCTAGCTATCCTCTTAGTTTGCTTTTGTTTTAGGTGTGGTTCTTAATAACTGTGAGTTTGCTGTTTAAATTTATTTACTTTAGAGAGAGGGGAAAGGAGGGAGAAAGAGAGGGAGAGAAACATCCATGTGTGGTTGCCTCTTATGTGCCCCCCACTGGGGATTTGGCCTGCAACCTAGCCATGTGCCCTGACTGGGAATCAAACCAGCCACCCTCTGGTTCACAGCCTGCGCTCAATCCACTGGGCTACACCAGCCAGGGTTAAAGCTTTATTTTTAATACAGCATTCAGTTTACAAAGTCACTGGACTCTATAAGATATCATATTTAAGGTAACACAGATTTAAGATTAAAAAAATTAGCCAGGGCAGTGTCCAGTGGTGTTATAGTTAAACTCGTTGCTCGAAAAACATTCTTGAGTACAGCACTCAAGCTTGACGGTGGCATTTGTTTACTGTAATGTGATGCAGGTGTCTGGTACTCACAGGTAGGCAGCCTTTCCTTCTTCAAGCTCTTTACTTTTGCCGCTGGAGCCACTCTTCTTCCCGCACATCCTCCTGGTGATGCACATTAGTAACCCACATTGCCGGACAAAGAAGCAGCTGACATCGGTTACCACCAGAATCAGCAGGAGTGCTGCAACTCCCAGGCCAATGACAGCTCCAAGCCCAAGACCATTGAAAAGTGTGTCTTGAAAAGTAAAACAGAAATAAAAAACAAATAGTTTTATTAAACCTCACACTAGAAAGTATTAGAGAGTTATTTTAAAATAAATCTTATCCAAGAAATAGTCAACTAAAGACACAAGAAAAAAGGGATAGTCCCTGGAAGACTTCAGTTTCGTGATGGTTGAGAGCTAGTCTCTGATTTTCGAATGATATTTTAAGCAACTGACATGGTGATGATTGAAGTAGTTTAAAAAAATTTTTAGATAAAAACTCTTAAGTGACTCTTCTTGCCAATTGACTTTTTGGTTCCCTGTGGGAAAGATAATGAATATTTGCATATCTGTAGCTGTACTTTATCAGAAAGTCATAGCATTAGCACACCATCGCTCTGTTAAAAGGAAAATATAGTCAAAACTCCAGGAAGGTATGACTTAAATAAATGTTCTTTCTAAGATTATTTTAGAGTTAAGACTTAAATTTGCAAATGATGGCTCCAAGCACTTTGCTTTGACAGATAATGCATTTTAAAATATCTGCATGAATATTTTTTAATTATTATTTTAGAATAAATGCATACTCATGTTTTTCTACTTAATATTTTAGTAAGTCATGCTAGAGGCATGCTTTAATGGAGTTATGGTGCTTATGATCTTTCTGAAGGTAGGGCCTGATGGGAGATACTTTTCTTTGGTAGGTAGTTGCAGGGAATCCCAAAAGCCATGAGAGGATATCCATGGACAGGTGATTAAGCATCAGATGTAATAGGCTGACTGAGAATGTAGAAATGGCAGAAGGGATTAGCATAGCAAAAATAAACCTCCTGTTGCCTGCCCATGGTTGAATGTGAGGGCAGACTACACAGCTATGACCATAAAAATAGAGAAATAGGCACAATGAAAAGAGACCAGATTGAAGTGGTTATATTGTGTTATCTAAAGGGGGAAGAGAGGATTATATAGAAAAATTTTATAGAATCATTCAAAGTGATTCTTAGCACAATTATATTAAAATTTCCTTCATATCATTATAAAATTATAATTTTCTTTGTAATGATTAAAAAAAAAGCTTATTACCCAGATCATAATGGCATGCTTGCTAAGCAACTGATGTGGAACACAAGTGAAGGATACAGAGACATATAAATTTGAGTTTTGAAAAAAACCTCTTCTGAAAAATTATACATAATACAATTTTTTTCTAAGTCAGTTTTTAAAACTTTTTTCAAGCATGTTAACAAGGACAGTTTTATCCAAAGGAATCAATATAACTATGCTTACTTAGAATTTACCACTAGTGGGCCACTCTTCAACATGTCACACCTGTCTGAGTGCTAGTGTGTTTTTCTGCATCATGCCTGAGTCTCCTGTCTACATTGACTTTATTGGGAGTTATTTTGGTTGTACTGCACATGATTCAACAACCAAGTGCAACAAAGAACAGTCGAGACTGCACACCTGAGTGGGCTCTCATCCCTGTGGCTATATTGACTCAGTGACCATTAAGATTTCATTCCTCCTTTCATTTAGGTTCTTCTCACGTGTGGGCAGAGCTGGAAGCCCAGTAGCTCTCACAGAGCAGTGATGATTTATCTAGTCCATTATATAAATCCCCATTTACTTTTTTAAAGCATAAAATCTGGCTTTGGATCTGGTGTCAGAAAACCCTGGTTCCATTGCTTATTGTTCTCTGTCCTTAGGTGAGTCAGCTGTCTATCCTGAGATGCCTCTTTATCACAATAGGGACAGTTACGAAAACCACCACCACCACAAACTGAGTCGTGGGTTATGGGAAGATTGTTGAGAATCACCTAACACTTCCACATTTACTGCCCAGCACTTAGTAAGAAATTAACAAACATTTTAAATTATTAATGTTTTACTATTATAAACTTCTAGGAGAATGTGATTTTTGAGAAAGAATAGACTAAGTTTCACTTGTCTGTAAATATATTTATTCCATTAACAACCTAGAATATCTCTGATGTAGCACTGACCATTCTCTGGAAAATAGAATCACTTTTTTAATGATTTAAGTTTAGTGAGTTAGCTTTTAAATAATACATAAATTTGTGACCTTTTTAGTATTCAACCGGTATATTGATCTGCTTCATTTCCATCTTTAGCAAAAGTTCATAGAAACATTTTATTTGTAAAGTACTTTATAGTAAAATAATATTGATGCTGTAATAACTGGTTTCTAGCAAAACAAGATTTTATCTTTTTAACTTACAATTGAAAATTTTAAAGGTTACTTGAAGTTAATTTTTCATTTTATAAACCAATTAGCTCAATTTTATTTTTTTAGTTTTTATTTATTTATTTTTAGAGAGGGAGAAAGAGAGAGAGAGAGAGAGAAACATCAATGTGTGGTTGCCCCTCACATGCCCCCTACTGTGGACCTTGTATGCAACCAAGGCACGTGCCCTGACTGGGAATTGAACCAGAGATCCTTTGCTTTGAAGGCTGGTGCTCAATCTACTGAGCCATACCAGCCAGGGCTACTTAAAACTATTTTTATGAAAAGCTAAATGTATTTTTTGTCATTTTAGAGGATAAGGTGAACATCAAATAGATTTATATTATAAATATTTAGATATTTAGTTAAGTTTTTTTAAGGTGATCTTTTTTTTAAATCAGCCCAAGGATGTATTTAAATGTCTATTTTCATGTCCCATAAAATTAGACTACAATAAGTATAAAAGGCAAATATTTTAATTCTTTGTAGCACCAATTTACTATGGAGTTAAAGTTTAATTTTTGGTTCTGGATTTTTCACAAATGAGCCCATAAATTTTGGTAAAATTACTTCACTAGAAATTGGAGACTAGCAATGATTTATGTTCTCAGGAGTATGCAGAAAATTCTTCCTTTATATTTATGGTTTTAATTATGATATAAATTGAAATAGATAGAGCAATCATTTGAAAGATTTTAAATTTATCTTACCTGTTTTAGCTTTCCAGAATACTTACACAAGTACATTATGGTATAATTTTAATAGCAAACCCATTAAAAATGAAAACAATATTATCAGTACTATTTTACAACTAAGAAAACTGAGGTCCAGAGGAGAAAATAAAGACTATTTAGTTTCAGCTTTTATATTTTTATACCTGTTAGAATTAATATTTCATATTGGATATTCATCATCAAATAATTAAAAAACAGAAATGAAATACAGTGAATTAATTAAAATGTGTAATTTTCTTATTAAAAATGTCAAAATCCATCTTCCCTGTACCAGTAGTGGAGAAACAACTATTTAAATAAAGCACGAGGGCTTATGGAAAAGACCACAGTTAACATTTTCTCACAATCAGACCAAAATTACAGCTGGACTGCAGAGCATCTATCATTCAGAACTGCCTGAAATCGAGCTGAATGCAAGTCCTCTAATTAAGGATATAAAGAAGCAGCCACACTGAGACTGGAAGGAAGGGTGGTGACTAGGAATGGGCTGGTCCCCAACCCTTTTGCTAGATAAAAATTGGGAGGATATCTGGACTGTGGAGGTTCCTCCTGAGGAGAAAGGGGTCCCAGCCCCAGGTCAGACCCCCCAACCCAGGGCTCCAGTGCTTGGAAGAGAAGTATCCCTAACTTCTTGCTGCAAACACCAGTGAGGATTGTGGTTGAGTAGGACAGAGTTCTGAGACAGTCCCAGGCAGTGCCTTTTAAAGATCCCACCCATGGACTAACTCAGAGTCCTCTGCTCTGAGCTCCAGTGCTGGGGCAACAGCTTGAAGGGCTCCAGGGATGTAGTGGGAGGAACCAAACTATCTGGCAGTTTTCTACCAGAAAGAAGTGTGGGCAGAAGCCATAGTTCCTTTGATGGCTTTCACTGCCCCCACAGAGCTGGCAGGCCAGGGATAAATCTGAGTCCCCATCAACCTGGCTGTCACTGTTCACCCTCCCTGGTGATTCCTGGAGACTGCACTCTACCTAACTCGTGGGCTCACCCACACTAATTCTAGTGGCTTCTCCACACAAATGGTATGTCTTGGCCCTTGTTTGATACTGTCACAAAATTTCTCAGACAAGCAGCATCTGAGCATAATGTCACACATCTCCATTGCTCTAAATACATCTCTGTTCTGTGTGACAATGGTAGGCATCCTGAATTTGAGGGGTGTGGTGTTCATCACTGAGTTTACAGATCCATGCAATTTGGATTTGTGTTTAATTTCCCTGTTGAAGCAAATGTTTGAACTTCTGTGCTTTCCAGTATGTGGTCAAAACTCTTCAATCGTATGTATTAGACATGACAAAATCATTGTAGATTATATCAGCAAGAATGATTCAAGATATCATTTTGCATTAATTCAGCTTTCTAAAAAATCAAACAGGAAACTCAAGAGCAACTATGGTAGATTTTATATTCTCTTTCCTCTAAGCCACTTTTTTATTGTTTCCTCATATACCCTTAGAAATTGAATATATCCTCCTATGTGCTTTTCTTTTAAATTATAAACAGGTAATATTTTATAATATTTACACTTTGCAAAATACAATGTGTGATTATAAAACAAAATACAATAATTTAGAAGGTGATGTAAAATAAATATTAATGAAAATTTTATTTTTTTAAATATCCACAGTGGTATCATTCACTTATTTTGTGGCCCATATACACTTAATAAATATATTTACATTGTATGTATAATTTTATTGTTTCATTTTTCTATAAAATGTAGACAAAAATTCTCATTTATTCTAGCTAAAATATTATTTGATTACCATGTATGAAGGCACTTTGGAAATTCAAATATGTTATTATTTGAACATTCAAATATGTTATTTCTTATTATGCATGTTAGTTAATAGTGCCTTTATTACTTGTTATTTGTTTACAGTAAGTATCTATTTTTAAAGGATTAGATCTCAACTTTTACCCCCAAACTTCTTAGATTTTAGCAAGTATGTTTACTTATTGTTTATTTGAATGCTGCTAATCTTCATGAACTACGATGAGCAAAAATAAATATAAAATTGTATTTACATTTTATATTGTGGCTTTTTATTATTA